CTCGAGGATTCGACTTTACCTCCGTGTCTTGCGTTCCTCTTCGATTTTACAACTCCGTCGAAAATTTTCCCTCCGCAATTTTCGCGTTTCGAAGAAAATTCGAGTTTGTTCGCGGTGAGTGTTCACCACGTGGACAGTCCGCTTTTCACGCCCACGCGAACATGCGTCCGACTGGCCGAGGCACGAAATAGGGACGCCTAAATAAAATGTAGGCCGCGACAAGTTACAACGACCGGTTTCTCAGGTGTGAATGCACTGCAAACGTGGTTAAATCCGTGTATACGTGGTGTTTACGTGAAAACTGATGAGGCCGGTTATGTAAAATCGTTTATCGATGAACTTTAAAGTAATTTCAATTTCAATGAAAAATATTAATATTGAATTCGATCTTAATTTATTTTATTTTTTTCTTGAAAGGAAATTCATTTTCTAAAATCTTACAATTATTAAATAACGCTTTGAGGTTTTAAACTTTATTTTTTGGTGTTATTTTGCATAAACACTGGCAATCTAATTATTATAAAGATTGACAGAATATATTACCATGCTACATAATATCTTGGTACAACACAATGGAGTGAACAAAAACGAACGAAAACAGACACATGTTTCTCAGAAACGTGGACAGAAAGTAAAATAAGACAAGAAATTTAATAAACACGATTAGAAGAGAAAATATAAACACGGTAAAACTGCATCGTACGTGTCATCGGTGGAAAAATATTTTTCAAGCAAATCAGTCTATTCTGATCACTCGGTGAAACAAGATCGAAAATTTTATAATTTTTCATATTAAAAATATTATACTTCAACATTTTTTTGTTTTCTTTGACAGAGTTCAGCAGAAAGTGGCGCTACATCGCCGTTAGCCAGTGGACCACCGGAATACATGATTGGAACATACAAATCTGGAGACTACGAGTACGTTGGGATACCACTGGATCATTCGCAAACGGAAGAGGAATCCAGCGGACCCAGTACCGCGGAAATAATAGCCAACCAGAGTCAGGATTACGTGGACGAGAAACTTGCCGAGTATCAGGCAACGATACAGCAGCTTCAAAGTGAGTAACACTTTTCGAATGTTCTTTTTTAATGTGCACTTCTGTTCATAAATTATCATAGATATATGATAGTATTCTTTTAGTAAAGATAGAACGAATTCTCGTGTTTAAATGTATTATAAATCTATTTAAATACTGTGCTCGGATGTATAGATGGAAATGCATATTTATATGTTGTTGTGAAACATTTAATAGATGCATATTGCATCTATTTGATATGTTAGTACTAGTGTCCTTGGATGCTTTCATTGTTATTTTGATTATGATTAAAGAAGAATAAAAGATAATAAAATATAGACGTAAGAAAATAAATGGGAAATTTTTCCCTTTGGAGATTTGATAAAATCAAAGATTAATTATTTAATCGATTTAAAAAAGAAAAGAAATAGAAATTAAAAGAAGTTCAGAATAGGAAATAGGAAAATTTGATTTTATTGCTGTCTATAGAAATATTAATTTTTTACATTGTATCTTTCAAGATATAGACATTGACGATAATATAACGAATTAGAAACCGATGTTTCGGATGCGGTTAGATGATACTTCTGGCAAGCACGAAATCAATGAATGTTGGTCTGTCTGCCAGTTGAGAAACATTATATTCAGACAAACCAAACCTATAAAGTCGATCAACACCGATATTCCTTGGTATTTTCGAATTTATAATTTAATTTTCTTCGTGCATCAATAGGATTAAATGAAAACTGATTCTTGCAGATTATGCAAAATCCGGTTTGCAAATAAAATAATTAGTAAGAAATTGATAATTTATTCGAATGATATTTATTATTCCGTCTTCCACAAATGGGGAAACATGTATTGATTGCACAATTTTCAACTTTTTTATAATCAATTCTTATACGGATATTTTATTGAATTTAAAAATATTCATTTACACATATTATCTTTTCTTGTCTCACAGTTTTAAACTTCAACAAAAGTGGATATTGGCCAACGTTTGAGAAATAAATAAAATTTATTCGTGCGTTAAATAATAGACAAATGAATTTCTAAGAAATATAACCATCATCGACCGTGAATTGTATTTAAATAATAATGACGGTCTAACTGATAGATATACGATCTGCTGCGAAAAAAAAAAAA